AAATAAATTACATTATTTATATACTTTATTATAAAAAGATATCATCTATAAATACGTGATCCGAGAAGTAAAATGAACCAGTATGCAACTTTGCATCCTTTTTTTACCACTAATTTCACACTTTGACTTGTCTTTTTCTATGCAAGCACCTTCCAGGAAAGATGTCCACACCTTTTTGCTCATCAACACCCCTGCATTATTGAGTCACCTATTACCTTCAAATTCCTTGCTTCTTCTTTTTCATCCCGACCCATCCTCACTCTCTTAATTTCATCGATCTTTCCAGCATAAAACTTTCCTCTTTTGGATGTTCTATTGCTGCTAAATCTTCTTGTTCAAACGCATCTCCACTTGCATATTCTGATCCGATCCAGTTAGCATTCAGAAGCAAAGCTTAAGGCAAGGGAGGTATGTACGTAAATATATTATATGTTTATGCTACTAATTTATCTCCATATGTTTTTGCTTCTTATACCTATTACAGTAGAACATCTCAGAGAGAGTTGCAACTTTCTCATTAATACTGATTTGTTGCTTTTTATCTAAGCGTTACAACATCATGAAATTATTTTAGTTACAAATAACTCAATCACTTCTAATGTAATTAATCAATATAATTCACGTTAATCTCCTTAAAATAATTTTATTGGAAAAACTAACACGAAAATGATCAAACGATATTGGCAAAAATGAAATTACCACCTCTATTTAATTTTAGTAGTGCTATGTTGATCTTTTAATTTTTTGAAACATTAATTTTAAATAAAAATTTAATATATTATATAAAGTATAAACATAATTATATTACATTTATGTTTCTTGTATGTGATTACTTTAGAACATCTCGGATTTGCGTTCGCGCGAATATTCAACATTGATTTGCTTCTTCTCAAGACTTGTAACACAATTATATTCCCCTCGTTAATAAGGATCGAAACATAATTATCTTCGATCCACCTAGAGAGTTGCTCCCTTTGTTTCCATTTAATTAACGTTATGTTTCGTTTCACACATATTAAGAAATCAAATTAATGACTTTAAATTAAAGTTACAATTTTATCCCTTTATATTATCAACACTAACTCAAAAATAGAGCCTTCAATTAATGAATTGGTGTGGGTAAATTTGGAAAAAGAAAATTAATGATCCGTTAATTATTTATTGAAATGCAACGTATAAAAACACTTTCTCAAAATGTTAGTTAAATTGAAAGAGAGGGAGTACAATGATTAGGGGTAAATGAAGTAATATAAATTTATTTAACTTGTGCTTTTAATTTACATGATTTTAATTGGTGATTGATAAAATTAAAATTAAATTTTATTTTTTAATATTAATTATTAAAAAAATATAAAATTAATACAATCTTAATCTTTGCTCCAAAAAAAAACTCATCAAGTATTTTGAGCCATAAATATTATTGTATTTTTTTTAAGATACTTTTTTAACTGTGTACCCCAAAATCAAAATGAGAGAACTACAAAAGCTGAGGGAGTAGTAGAATGGTAGATGAGCAATAATTTCATGCCTGTAATTTGTTTTGGGTTCAGCCTTTTCTGATGTCTAATGGCTTTGTTATTTTACTGTGCACCAGGTACCCTTGCCCTTTGGATCCTTTTTTAGCATTGACTTCTAGGATCAGCATTGTTGAGTTTAAGTTGCCTAATTTCAAGTTCTTCGCTTCTTCAAGTTCGATCCATTCCGAACTCTCCTCATCTTTGTCCAGCTACTTCACTCAGAGTTACCATTTCAGAAGTACAACTAAAGGCAAAGGTATATTTAATTTTTTTTACTTCTATTTTTGTTTCTCTCTTGGTTAGCAGTAGCACACATCTCGTATATTTTTTAGCACCGACTCCCAGTACCAGTATACTTGAGTTTGAATTGCCTAACTTCAAATTCATTGCTTTTTCTCCAATCCAAATTCTCTTTATATCTTTCTCCAGCAAGCATAGAACTCCAACTCTCTTTTAAACAGATTATGAAACGCCAATACTTATATTATTAGTAGTAGTATTTACAACCATCATACAAAAAGCAAAAAATAGTAGTAGTATTTACCTTTGTTATGATCTATTGATGTGGAAAATAATTTCAAATATTTATTTCATCCTTTCAGATCAAATTAGTTGTTCCAACACAATGGAAGCCCTGTCTATGGTTGCTCAACCTCTTTTGTCAGCTACTTTTGATTGGATGCTCCAGAAGTTGGATGGTTTCATTTCCAGCAATTCTCAGGGATTACAGGAAGAGGTCCATGCTAATTTGAGAAAATGGAGGACCTTGCTACCGCAAATCCGTGGTTTGCTCAGAGATGCAGAAGAGAAGCAACTCTATGAAAATTTCGTGAAGATCTGGCTTGATGATCTCAATGACTTGGCTTACGATATGGAGGACATTTTTGAGGAATTAAAGGCTGGTATTGATGTTCAGTGGAGCAGCTTGATAGCAGAACCTCAACAAGCCACTAGCAGCAAATTTATCCCAACTACATGCTTCTCTTGTTTCAAAGGCAACAATTTCATGTTTGATTCCCAAACCATTTCTAAGGTGAAGGATATTTCTGAGAGGTTGAACAACTTGGTTGACCAATCCATCACACTTGGCCTAGCAAGTTTAAGAGCGCAAGCTGGAGAGCGGCCCAACAGAGTAGATGCAATAAGGATCACCACTTCTCTGCCTGATCCTTATGTTTGTGGTCGGGAGAGTGATAAATCAGATATTCTCCGAGAGGTGCTAGCTGACAGAGGCAGTGATAAAGGATATTCCGTAATTCCCATCGTTGGAATGGGAGGTGTTGGAAAGACAACATTGGCTCGATGTATTTACAATGAGGTGGGGGGAAGCTTTTACCCCAAAGTTTGGGTCTGTGTTTCTGATCAATTCAATATTTTGAGCATAACAGGATCAATTTTAAAGGCAGTATCTAATGACCAGTGTGATTTGAAAGATCTAAATCTGCTTCAAGAAAGATTGAGGGAAAAATTATCTTATAAGAAGTTTCTTCTTGTTCTGGATGATGTTTGGAATGAAGGCTCAGTTCCATGGGACACCCTGCAAAAACCTTTTCAATTAGGATCAGCTGGAAGCAAAATAATTGTTACAACTCGTAACGAGAATGTTGTAAAAACCATGGATAGGAAAGCCAAGATTCACCGGTTAAAACTATTAGAATTTGAACAATGCTTGCCAATTCTAGCTCAGCAGGCATTAGGAGAGAAGAACTTTGGTGCACATCCAAATTTGAAAGAAGTTGGTGAAGAAATCGTTAAAAAGTGCAATGGATTGCCGTTGGTTGCCAGAGTCACAGGGGGCCTCTTACAACGTTCGCTTGACCGGGAATATTGGAAATACATAAACAATAAAATGTTGAATTTACAAGCACAGGAAAGTGGGATTCTACCAGTGTTGATGCTGAGCTACCATGATCTTCCTTTTTATTTGAAGCAATGTTTTGCATATTGTGCTTTGTTCCCTAAAGACTACCCATTTAAGAAGGATGAGTTAGTTATGTTGTGGATGGCAGAAGGACTCTTGTGGCAAAAACCGGGAGATCAAAATATATTGGAAGAAATCGGGCATCAATATTTTTGTGAGTTACTTTCAAGATCATTTTTTGAGCAGTCTAGTGGGAATGAATTAGAGTATGTAATGCACGATCTCATACATGATTTGGCTCAATTTGTTGCTGGAAGAACATGCCACAACCTACAGAATATGTTGGAGGTTGATAAGAAATCTGAGGTGAAAATTGAGAAGGTTCGACATTTATCATTCCATTGTAGTTTTTTTGACGTCTCTGAGAAATTTGAAGTTCTGAATGAAATGAAGAGTTTACGAACACTCATTGTTGCTAATCCAAAAGCTCGTGGGTGCTTTTTGGCAAAGACAGTGGTGCTTGATTGGATACCAAAATTAAGAAGCTTAAGGGCATTATCTCTCAAGGGTTATCATATAAGAAAGCTACCAGATTCAATCAGGGATTTAAAATGTTTAAAGTACCTTGATTTGTCTGAAACTAGGATACAAAGTCTACCTGAATCAATAGTTTTCCTCCTCCAATTACAAACATTGTTGTTATTCAACTGCAAAAGCTTTTCAAAGTTTCCTGTGAAAATTGGGAACTTAATTAACCTCCATCATCTAGACATTAGGGGAACAGATTCCTTGAAAGAGATGCCATCCAGAATAGCTAATCTCAAAGATCTGTTGACACTGAGCAAATTCATTGTGGGGAAGGAAAATGGATCAATTAAATTATCTGATTTGGAGAACCTTTCACAACTTAAAGGAGAATTATCTATTCTAGATTTGCATAATGTATTGGATGTTCATGATGCTAGGAAGGCCAGCCTGGACAAGATTGATGGTCTTGATTGGTTGCTCTTGCAATGGACTTCTGAAGTTGGCAGTTCTAGGAATGAAGACAGGGAAATGGAGGTCCTTAGCTGGTTAAAACCACATCTAAAATTGAAAAGTCTCTCAATTATTTGCTATGGTGGCAAGGAATTCCCCTCCTGGATTAGTTGTCCGTTATTTTCTAATTTATCATACTTGAAGCTGTGCAAGTGTAGAAGAAGCACTTCGTTACCATCACTGGGGCAATTACCAGCACTCAAAGAATTGATAGTGGAAGGCATGGATGCAATAGAAACAGTGGATTATATGTTTTATGGGCATGGCACTTTTCAATCTCTTGAGAAGTTGGAGTTTCGTGACATGTTAGTGTGGGAAGAATGGACTTCTACAACAGGAGGTGGAGTGGGATTCTCATGTCTTCGTGAGCTTGTGATTGAAAATTGTTCTAAGTTGATAGGACAATTACCCAGTCAGTTGTCTTGTGTTATTAATCTTGTGATCAGAAGATGCCCAAAGTTAAGATGCCCATCATCTATGGGTCTTCAGTCACTACAAAAGCTGAATATTGAAGACTGCAATGTGGCCTTTTTGAATAGCTTGGCTGATCTCATCTCTCTTACTAGCTTGGAAATTAAGAGAATTTCAGGACTTGTTTGCTTGGCTAGGAGTTTTATTGAGTCCTTGATAGCAGTTGAGAAGGTGGAGATTAAAGAATGCCTCGAGCTTACTTGTTTGTGGGAGGAAGGTGCCGAGATAGAAAACCTTGCTCGTCTTGAGAAAATGAACATTGAGAGCTGTCCTCTGCTTGTTTCATTGACGGGGAAAGAACATGGCCTTCTTCCTTTCAATCTTAAACATCTCACACTTTCAAGTTGCAAGGCTTTAGAGTCATTAACTGATGCGATGATGATGAAGGTAGATGGAAGCAGTAGCAGCAACAACATGTTGAGACTTGATTCATTAAGCATCTACAATTGTGAGTCTCTCAAGTCTTTACCCACCACCATGGTTAAACACTTGACAATTAATGGATGTGTCAATTTTGAGTCTTTACCAGATGGAGTATTATTGCAAGATGATGGTGACAGCAACAGCAATCTTGAATATTTGAGAATAGAGAGACTTCCTTCTCTAAATTCTGTTGGGAGTGGTCATCTGCCAGCTTCTCTCCAGGAATTTACTGTTGAAGATTGCAAGAGGTTGGAATCATTTCCAGAGAGGATGCTGCAACATTGTACGGGACTTGAATCCATACGAATTGGGGATTGTGAAGTATTGAGAAGCTTATCCCTTGATGGCCTCAGCAATCTTCGTGATTTGAACATTAGAAGGTGTGCAGTTTTAGAATTCTTCCTAGAAATGGGCCTCTCCTTGCCCAATCTTAGGTCTTTGACAATTATAGGTTGCCGAGGGTTGGAGCGCATTCTAGATGGGGGTTTTCCCCCAAACTTAACAGATCTTAAATTAGACGGTGAGCATCTGAAGCAGCCGGCAGTGGAACGGGGCCTCCGCAATCTTACCTCTCTTCAAAGTTTTGGCATTTATAACACGTGTCCTCCTCCGGGAATTGTGCTTCCTCCTTCTTTAATATATGTCGTGATAGCAAATGCAAAGAATCTGAAATCCATACCCAGAGGACTCCTCCAAAACCTCAACTCTCTTGAATATTTAGGGATTTATTGCTGCCCAAAGCTACGGTCCTTGCCGAGGGAAGGCCTGCCTCCGTCGCTTGGATATCTCTGGATCTATGAGTGTCCGCTTCTAAAACGACAACGCTTTGAGGAGAAAGGAGAATATTTGTCTCTCACTCGTACCATCCCTCTCGTCCAAATAGATGATGATGAGGTAAAAACCTACACTCAAACTCACACTCTGATGTAGATACAAACAAGGATAGCCTCTTCTTCTTCTCCTTCTTCTAATTGTTGGAAGCTAACTTTTCTTACACATGTTCATTAGCTATAACCACCAAAGCCAATTGTTACCTGAGTGAAATCTGGAATGAAGGTACAGACTTATTATTGAGGTATATTTCTTTTCTTTTTAATAGCTTAAATTATAATATATCTGCATATATTGTTGCACTACTTCTCTTTTTATTGATAAATTTGGAGAGCTTGATTCCCTTCCCAACTCTTCAGCTTCAAATATTTCCATCTTAAAATTAAGGTGGCGGCTATATTAATGCATCTTACAAAAACAAATAACCATAATACAATGTATTTTTGAGAAAGCTGTCCTTTTATTTTTGTCATTTTTTCTTATACTATTCTTTGGCCTAGGTTGTGATTTGTGAATTTGTTCTTCCTTTTAGATGCATTGTAGAATCGATTGTAAAGTAGTGCAGATTGACAAATTCTTCGAAAAAATAAGTAAATGAGTTTCAAATGTTCTTTTGAAGGAAAATTTAGATGCTGGATGTTAGATTCTATTAAGTTATGTATTCTATCATGCTCTAACAAATGAAAAAGAACCTTGGGGGATGAACTTAGTGAGAAAAGCTTTCTACAATGCACGTTGCTTCGCTAAGGCTAAAGCAGCTAACCTTTTGAATCCAAATTCTTTATCATACTCTTTCCTCAGCAGTATTGCAGCCCATCAAAGCCCTTGCATTGGTGATGCTTGTCGAGGGTTACTAACAGTTTGATCTTAATTAGGTACCATATTACTGCCAGAACAGTACTTGGGAAACCCATATCTTTGGAGATAGCTTCCTTGTAGATACCTCTATGAATTGTGCATCCGGACTCAGTTTGCAAATTGTGTTTGCCGAACCATCTTTACCATGATCTAGGGTGGGCAGCCTGCCAGATAAGCCAGTAGACCAAGCTGTTGTTCTTTGGCAATGTTTAATTCTCAGTTATTTCCAGTTAGCTTAAATAATTGTAAGTGCAACTTTGCAAGAACACCATTTTACTTCTGAATACTATTAAATTCTCTTCTGATTCTAGGTTGCACCTTATTTTTTTCATGTCACTATTTTCTTAATTCATCCCTAACCCACGTAAGTGCAGCATCACTGCTGAAATTCTTAGATGCTGCACCTAATCAGAACACATATTCTACATCACTTTCTAAAAGTCTCTTACTTTAAATGTTTCCTCTTTTTTTTCTTTTTCTTTTTTTTTGCAAGAAATGGATTTGATTAGGGTTTTTTTCTCCAACTTCTCTTGACTTATATTGAAGACAATTTAAGGATATTAAGGCAGATGTCTGGTGTCATGCTACCTTCTAAGTAGGAGGCAACATTTCTGGCAGTAGCTAAGAAATGAACAGTCCAATAATGTTCATCCTTATAGGCAAGTGTAGAGAGCACAAGACAGCTGCACTAACCACTTCTTTGTTTAACTATGGTCTTATTTGGGGATTTAGTTCTGAGATTAATGTAATGTGAAGACAAGAAGAGGTGCCTTTCAATACCCATCATAGTCATAGCAACAAATTTCTCCTGGTAATGCCCAATCCTATTTTATGGCACTTTGATCTCTCAGTCTGTTTCTCTAATGTTGCAATGCATCTCTTCAGTTTCAGGTTAAGACAATTCAACCAAAAGAGGCTTGCCTTGTAAATTTTAAAAATCTCCAATTATGTGATCCTAAGGACATCATCGCTTGGAGTCCTGACTCTTTCTTCTCTTCAGCTGCACTCACTGCAGATATCCCTCAAGGTATTTTATTTTTTTTTATAATTTTATCTAATATGTTAAATGTATGCAAATCTGCTACTTTTTTATATTCCCAGATGCATACATACATTGATCACTTTGGTAACTCTAAACTATCTTTGATATATAGTGGTAATGTCTTCCCAGTCATACTTTCCAAGGATATATGTTTTCTTATTGAATTTAAGATGTTTGTCATAGAGAAAACATGCACCTATCTCATGATCGATAAATTGTTGATGTTCTTTAATGCTTTATATCAGGGTTTTGAAGCTGCTATTGCAGTTGGAGCCAAGGAAGTAGCAGCAGCTGCCTCAGCTTCAGAGTCTTTTTCAAAGTCAAAAACTAAGAAAGCATTGAAGATAGTCTGTCTTATTGTTTTGATGTTATTTCTGTTGCAAGAGAGCTTTAAATACCTGTTTTTGGGTAGGTTACTAACTACCGTTGAAATTGTTGTATATTCCTTAAGAGGAAAAAGGAGGAAAAGTGGGTAGAAAAGTTAGTCTTATTTCTTCCTATTGAATTCTCAATCAGTTTAGTCTTCAACTTTGTTGACATATATCATGTGTCATGGGTTGCCCTGTAGAAGTAATGTTGTTGGCACACCTGATAATGTTTAAAACTGCATTCTGTTCAGAATCCCACGTTATTTCAAAAATAAGTTATGTTATTTCTTTTCCTTTATATCTTATCTTGGGAGAGGGGGTTGGCAAGGGTGCTGTTGGTTTGTGAAACATGACAGTGCTTTTCATGCACACAAATAGCATGAAGCTTCTTCTAAATCCATTATCTGATGCAGGCTCTGATTGATTGTATGCTGGTTTCAATGTGTCATAATCTCATCTCTATTGTTTTTACTTTTGGGTTAACTTAGATTTAGTATTCTTCTTTTGTGCCATGTTGAAGGAACTGTCATTCAATTGCTTGAAGCTGTTCTTGATGTCATTCCAATTGATAAGCTTGCCATCCATTTCCATGACATTTGTGGGTAAGCCCTTTCGAATATTTTAGCATCTCTTCAAGTATGCATTCTTTCTTATTTTCAATCTCTTATGATTGCTTCTCAGTTCTCAACATGCTCATTTTCTTGTCAAGATGATTGTCAGTACATGGCTTTTTGGCTACTGCTATAAGTTGATGGAAATGGATTACAAGTGAAAATGCTTTCCATGTTTTTACTGATGGGGATCAGCATCATGGACTCATTGGTTTCAGGTCTTGGAGGTTATCCATTTAATCCTAGAGTTCTATTAATAAATGTTACCGCTGAGGATGTTGTTTACGTGCTAAATGGACTCGAAGTAAAGACAATTGTAGATCTTGAGAAACTCAAAATGTTCAACAAATATTTTATAGTACATATTATACAACAAGAAATAATTTTTTTTTTTTAAATCTCGTCTTAAGGTTAAAATGTATAAACTCTAATTTAAATTTCAAATTTTTACTAGTTAAAACAATTTTCGAGGCCTAATTTCTCTACTAGTTTTCCACTTATGATCGGGCCCTTTCTAGTCCAAGTCCTGTGCCTTTCACACCTTGAAAGGAATCTAAATAAATGAAAGGACAATAAGACAAATGCCTTGCACCCTGGGGTGATCCCCTTCCTCTAACATACAGAAACATCATTTTCACTTCAATTTTCTTCTTCCTTTCATTATAGGTCAAAGGAATGGTTTGTAATTGTTTTTGTCATTCGCCTTTTTTCTTCAAATGTGCTCAATAATTGCTACTCCTGTTTAGCCTGGAAAATCAGCTTATCCAAAAACACTTGTATTTCTCTTATTTGGTTTGGCTTTGGTTTTTTAATTTTTCGGTTTCATATTTTGCTATGTAAAGTACATGCATACACACTACAGCATGAGTTGAAGAAATTAATGTGTAATATGCGTTTTGGTATTTGCAAGAATTATATAACTGTTATGCTTCTTCATCCTTATTTATTGGACTCCATACAATATCTGGAAATTTGACATTTCTTTTTCCAACTTCGATCGTTCATTGATTAACATGCTGGATTCTTATTATATGAGATTTTGGATTGAAATTAAGCTCCTTGTTTGAGTAATACGAGGAAATTGTACAAAAAAATGCTAATTTAAAGATTATAAAAATCATTATGAATGAATATGAAATCAAAAAAGAATGATGCTATAATAGGCGGAAAAAGATAAACGGAGAGAAATATTGCTTGATATCCAATAGCAAATATCAACTTATAAGCACCACTGAAACGACTCTTTAGGTCTAACAATTTTTTTCAATCCATGGGCTGACCTATTTACCCTTTCCCCATATGATTGCCCTTGTTAACACTACTTGAGTGAAAAGAATTGATTATAAATTTATTTTAATTTTAGCATATTATTTTGAAATTAACACTCATTTTTCATGAAAAAACAGAACAAAATAATTGCATAACTAACAACTTTTTTTGGCTGGAATAATTAATGAAAACGTTTTTAAAATAGATATAGAGACATTATGGAATGATGCAAAAAAATTTGGGCAATTTATGAATTTAAAGTAAAACTTTCCCATCATTCCCCTCGTGGAAACAGGGGAAAGATTGTATAAAAGCAGTAGGTTCTACCACAGAGAGGAGGAAGCAGGTATGCTGGACTTTGGGCTGGCAAAATGGAAAATGGGTACCGAACATACGGCGAGACCTCCCTCATAATCATTCACCTCAGAGAAATTTAAGTTGAACATATGGCTCTCACACAGCTAAAAGAAATAGCAAATACTAACAGAATTATTCAAAAATCTTCAAATCTTATTTTCAGAGGAAATACTGATCAAGTGATAGCATTTAAAAATATATTTATAGTATATTTGTTTGGTCTTACAAATATTTGTGTTTATGAACGTAGTTATTATTATCATTACTATTATTAAGTCAATTCAACTTTTGATTATTTTAAATATTATTTAAAAATATTAATAAATATTACTTATTTTAATTTATTAATTAATAAATATAAATTATTATTCCTTCTATTTCAAAATAATTATCTTTTTTTTTTTACTTTACATTTGTTTTAAATATATTGTTATTTTTTTATTTTTCAATATAGATAAATATTTTTTTTCTACTTTAATCCTATCATTATTTATTCATTTTAATTAATCATCCAATCACCAAAAACCTTTTCTTGCCTTTTATTTTTTTAAAATAGCATTATAAATAAATATAAATATTGTTACAAAATTCTTCATTTAAGGATAAATTTTAAAAATAATAATTATTTTAAGACGAAAGGAATACAATAGTTATTAGTTAATAATTATAA